TATCATTCAATAACCGGATGTGTTCACGGGACGAGCAGAGAGGCTCAAGTACGGTAGCTATATCGTTCTTATTATACCTGACCTATACTATCTCTACAAAGTATCAATTTTTTCACTCTTGAAGAAGACCAATTCACATAATCTATCAACAAAGTTTCATGAATCTTATGAAGTTTGCCCTAATTAGGATCTGCTCCACTTTGACTTCTATCTATCATGGAGGTTCAGCAAACAGTATTATGTAATGAGAAATAAATAGTTGATTTTGAGCTACGAGTTCGTTTAACATTTTCTACATTTCAGATGGAGAGTTGACGACTACCTTACACGAAAACGGGAGTTACTTGCTGATTTAGCTGATTTTAAGGAAAATGAAAGTTAAGTTATGGATGTGGGTCGCCAGCAAAGTCACTTTATTCATTTCTTTTGTTACAGATTTATTGAAGAAACTGCGAAAACTATAGACGAATTGAATCGAGAGAAGGAGGAGCACTCTGAGATCATACAACAGATTAATCAGGTAGACTGAATTTGTATCAACTACTAACATTTACCATAATTGGGATAAGATGACGCTAAATCTACACATAAGTTCTGAAAATGTTGCTTTGCCATCTGAGTCGGGTCCTTGTGTATCTGGTTCCGAACAATGCAGATTTCCCATTTTATGCATATTAAAGTATCATTTGAAATCTTCCGAAATCTTTAGGATAAATCTGATTTGGAAAAACAAATGGACGATGCTCGATACGAACAACGTGAGCGGGAAACACAACTAGCGAGAAAATATGAAACGCTGATGAAGTTGATGGAATCATCAAATGAGAAGATTCGAGAAAGTGGACTTGGAGAAGAAGCGATTATACATCCTGATGATATCCCGCATGCACGGATTCCAAAGTGAGTAATGTCTGGTTTATTGGATGCATTAGTGGAAAAGATTTATGGGAATTAAAAGAAAAAACTTTGCCGCTTTTGCTATTTCACACAAGAGAGTACAAGGCCCGTATAATATATGATGAAAGACATGAGAAACTACTTTTGAATTACCAATTAGTTGATATGATAAATAATATCTTTGAAATTTTCTTGCTAAGGCTCCCTACTCCACCAGCACCTCTCACAGCGCCTCAATGGAAAGGTCTAACAGGATTGATCCCACCAATGATGTCTCTTGATCAAATGATGATGGCCACACAGTTTCGACCGCCTCCTGCAGTGCCTCCTCATTTGAAGGCTGCCGATCATCAAAGCCCTCCAATGAAGGTAAATTTTATACAGTAAGCTTCAAA